AATGATCCTGCAGATCAGAATTTCCATCAAACGCCCGTATGTCGGGCATCTTGAATCTTGATGGGAGTGGAGCGGCTAGCACTTCGGGAGAGAAAGAGGATGCAGACGCGACCTGCCCTTGCTCATTTTGCCGAGCTCTTAGTTGGTCTAGAGCTCACTGCAGCTCCTCAATTTGTGGCAATGGAGCCACTTGAGGATTGCTTTCACCCATGCGAGTTCGACCCTCGCGATTACGGTTGAGGAAAGTCCGTAGGTTGGGTTCCTCTTCGCCTCGGCTGGTGGTTTCGACCACTCTTGACACACGCTGGCTAGAGCCGTGTGATGGCAATGAATGGTGCGGGGTATTTTCATGACCTTCGCGGTGGTAAGAACCACCCCGCGAAGTGTGGGACCTTCTCGCACGGTGACGATCAGGATCGTCTTGCTGGTGGTGATAGGAATCGCCCCGCCCAGCACTTTTATGGGGGTGTACTAGCGACATGGCATGGGACAGCTCGGGCTGCGTCTTTTCACGAGTCTCAACGAGACTGGTATTCTGCTTGGGACGCGGTCGGTGTTTGCTGGCCCTTTGGAGCCCGTAGGCCCGTTTTTTGCCACTTGCTTACCCTTTCGTCTACACGTTGCAGTGCTCATGGCAAGGGCTATTTCCCTTTGCCGCGCTTTCGTGCGACCTGCAGGCCTTTTTGGCGGTTGCATCGCCCCAGCTGATTTGGATGGCACGCCTTGGTCCAAAAGCTCCAACCTTCAGTTGACCGTCTAGAGAGTATTGTCGAACCTCTCCAGGTAGCTTCTAATGGCAGGGTCAAGCTGTGAACTTGATGGGATATCCCCTGCAGCATTTTGCGGAACTGAAGGTATTTTGGAAGAGGTGTCCCCCTGGACTTGGTGGAGCCCCTCAGCACCTTGGTTGGTTTGCTCAGGTTCAGGTTGGCGGGCCATTTACTGTTGTAGGACCAGTAAGTTAGAGATTCTCCTGATGAAGGATGAACACTAAATCAGGCCCTCCTTCTAGCGCCAAACTGTTGATGCGTGATTTTTACACCAACGAAATACACGTGTGAAATGTTGAGCTGGCCCAGAAGACACACATGAATATAAGGAAATATCAGAGTAAATACAAATAGGAACAACTTTTAAAGTGGTTCGGATGCTAAGGAAGCAAGTCCTACGTCCACTGTGATTTTATTAATGATAGGGGTCAAGTCACATTAGCTGACTAACTTACAAGTGATATTACAAGAGAGAGAGTACTATATTATAGAGAGAGAGAGAGAGAGAGAGTAGCTAATGAAGAGTAAAAATGAGCGAATCCCTTGAATGAGAGATGAGCTCTCAATTTATAGTGGGATACACTGAGCTAATGATTACTGAATCTGTGAGTTGGTGGGATTATCCGTGCAAATCCTTTTTTATGTCACATTGCCCACCTTCTAGAGTGATTTACACGATTTGGAGCAGGGATTGGACACGTGGGATCACCACAGCTTCTGTCTGGTCTGGCGCACACCTACTATTCTGACAAAAGCAGGCAGCCTCTTTCCTCACATGACTCGGCTATGGGGGTACCCATGCTCTGACTTTTGCACGTTAATCGGACCTTACGTCAGCCCTATATTTTTCAGGCATAACAATAAATGATATTAAATTACAAGCATATAATTCTTCTTGACACTGGAAAGGTAAGTTTTGACGTTATTAAATTGAAAGTAATTAAGGATAAAACTAAAAAGGTAAATATGTTTTTTTTATCAATTAAAGTGTCATCACTTACGGTAATAACATATAAATAACATACAATTTCCTTGATGTTTTCTTAAATAAAATTTTCCCTTCATTATCAAAAATAACAATTTACCTCTTCTTGTCACTGTAATATTGGTTTTTGTTAATTAGCTAACATATTTTACATTGAATCTGTTGAATTAAATAGCAAAACCCTAATGGAATACCAACAGTTGGGGGTAGATAGTTATTTCTTATACTTGAGGGAGGGAATAAAACAATGAAACCTCAAGAGGAAAATTGCAATAAATTCTAAATTCTATAGTCTTATCAAATTCCAATGTCTCCCTTCCGCTTTTTAAATATGTAGAATTACTAGATTTATCGTGCAAATGTTAACTCTGTTTGGTCCAACGAAATGGACAAGGACTTTCCATTTCTTTGGTTTGGTTTGGTCTGAGTCATTTAGCCTATGACTGGGGATTCCCCGTTCCTTTAAAAAGGAGAAGGGCATTCCTCTCAAAATTTTGGGGCATTTTAAGAATTGAAATGTCCATTTTACCCCTAGTTTATTTTTTTAATTCTCATTTTATCTTTACAGCTATTTATTGAAATTTTAATTATTTTATAATTCAATAATCGTTAAAATTTAATATCAATAACTAAAATATAATTGTTCTAACCCCAACATCTTGTCGACAAAGCCACAACCGCAACAACCACTGCCCACTGCCATTCTCGCTATGATTGTTGTCGGATGGCGATTGTTCCTCACGTTACCAATGTCACTGTTGACATGTGAAGGATTGGCAACCAATGATCTGCCGATCTAGATAGGTCCCGACTTCTATAGTCCAACACACTCACGTCACCAATTGTAAATTATGCGGTGATTTTTTCTAATCAATTTTCAATGGATTCCATTACTTGATCAAATATACTTATATGTATAATCATTTAAACCTAATGGTATTTTTGTTCGAAACCCACAATTTTTATTTTGTTCAATTAACCTTCCTTATTACAAGTAAGCAATGTAATCCTATTTGGTTCTTTCAACATTAACATTACATTTCCCATCTCATTCCTATTCACATCCAATTCATACACCAAACATGATCTAATTGTGTTTGCCAATTAATTTTTAAAAAGTTGTACAGAAATAAAAAAGTCCAATATAATAATGAAACATAATGACCGTTTCATATCAAATTGAAATCAAGATTGAATACGCATACATAGAAATATTATCATTTAGGGGTTATTTGCTTGAAAAACTAATAAAAAAATATCCAAGTTTTGAAAATTACAAAAATTGGTTACATAAAAGACCTTACCCGCTAAATAAAACAAAAGTTTTGTACAAAATTAAAATACCTTTTAACTTAAAATTAATAAAAGAAAACAATCTAATATAAGAAAAATTAAAATCAAGACTTAATTGGAAATTGTTCCTCCATCATAAATTCATAATCGGACTGTAATCACACACTGATACACGTATATGCAGTGATGACAAAGGAATCAATTTGAGCCACTAAAACGGGGCTTATACAAGCTGAGAAAACTAGGTATATTAAATGGTTGAAATGTGTAACTACTCAATTAACACCCGAATCGCTAAGCTAGTAAAGGTTAATTGAGTAAATAAAATATAATATTGATGCAAAACCTAGCTATGAATTCCTACTGGCTATATGTTTCTATAATCTCAAGCTTTTTATGGCATGCAATAATGTTTCCAATGAATGGTAGGCCAAATTCAGAATCAGATAAAATTCAAAAAAATAAAATAAAAAAACAATCTTTTGCAGGCATAAGTTGATTAAACAAAACTTCATATCAGAAACTCGATAACTTGATACCAAAATAACATAACATCTCTTTCAGTGTGAGTGAATAATATGCCATAAAATCACATGTTTAAAGATAATTTTTTTCACATTAAAATAGTTGTACGATATCATTTTCATTTCATGATAGCATCTTCGGGAAGTCCTTTTATATAAAACTGAAATTTTCAGTGACATGAAAAGCAAACTAAATCAAGTTACCGTCAAGAGATGCTAGAAAAATTCCAGTTGCAACAGCACAAGATTTGTGTGAGAAATCGTGTGAGAAAGATATATATATATATATATATATATATGTCGCACAGAGCACAAATCGACATAACAAATAAATGTTTGATTGATGCCCTAGCACACGTGTATTGTCATTGAAAGTAGACGAGAGTATGCATAACGTGAACGTTTAGTCCAAAACTGATTTTTCTCAATTTAACCATGATGAAAAAATCTAGAATACTATGGTTATCCCATTATTCATATTACAATAACTGCACAGCATGCATTGACATATCATATCACTACGTAGCTATGCCAACGTTTAATGACCATCTCTATATTAATAATAATTATTGTCATATATATTCTTAACATATTCATCTATTTATATAACACTTTATAATCTCATGTGTCCATGTTACATTGTTCTTATCTTTTTTTTTTTTTTTTTTTTTTTTTTCTCTTTCAAGCTAAAAAACATAATAATGATAATAACAATAATAACCATAATAAAACACTTTTTTTATTAATCAAGCGGAAAATAATTATATTACCGGAAAATGTTTTTTTTTTTTTCTATTAATATTAGAGGAAAATTTTCTGAAATTTTATGGTACAATTATTACAGTGGGAAAATAAATTATTTGCATCAAATATATATATAATATATTATATATAATTTTATTATATATATATATATATATGTGTGTCATTGTGTGTGTAAAGTTTAAGTATAAAATATTTATTTGTGGTTGTATATTAGTTAAACAACACTATTCTTAAGTAATTTTTTAGTAGGAATAAGAAAGTAATTAATCAAATTTTGAATTGATTTGAACATTATATTATACCAATGCCGTCAAAATATTATTATTGTATCCTCACAAGATAACAATAAGAGAGAAGAATTCTGTTTCCATGAAAGGATTACGAAGCCGAAAAAGAAGATGCCATGAAAGGAGTGAATACTTTTAACTTCATAAACATTTGGTTATTTTACATAGTCATAACTTCAACAGCAAAATCACAACATACAACCAAGTTGATTTATCAACACATGCCTAGTATACACTTTACAACTAATATTCAGATTTAGAACAAACTAAGGGTAATATTTTCGAAATTTCTGTAACACCAAGTAGCCGTAGGGTCATCTTTGTGACGTCTTTGTGTGTTCCATAATTTCTGCCATGATATCAGAAAAACAGATCCTTATTCTCTGACGAATCTTGTAGTTTCGATTCCAATCCTCGAACTGATGGCCTGCAAAAATGGATATATATATATCTAATCATTAGAAAAGATTCAACCTCATTTCTACTATCAGCTTGACCATATATAACTTGGTCATTTCGGCTTGAAATTCAGGATTACTATTACAATTAATTATTAATAAGATGGACAATATGAAGTAATTATTTATTTATTTTTAATTGAAATTTACAAATATAAACAAAGACCTTAATTTAACGACAACTCTGCGCTAATAATCTTATAAAACATAGATTAAAATAGAAAAGAAAAGAGATATATACCTGGGACTTAATTATGTATATGATTCTATCGCCTGCAACATACTGAGTAGAACTTATGACTTCGGCTCCTTCCTGCTGAAGAATATTGATAATGTCATGTAACATGAAGTTCTTGTCCAACCCACATATCAAATTTATTTCCAAACTAGAATCTGAGCATTTTATGTTGAGTACAGGTAATCTTGAGCGGCTTGTCTTTTTATTTTCATCACCGCTACTCTCTTTCAGTAGTAATGCCCTTCGGCGCCTTCGGTCCTCCACTCTTTCTTGCAATTGCTTTATATGATTGGTAGCATGCTCCAACAACTCAATCGCTGAAACCTATAATAAGAAAAAATAAATAAATAAATAAAAACAGCGCTTAATTAATTTGGTTCCAATAAAAATAAATAAAGAAACGAGAAATTAAGGATATCCAAACCTTAGAGGATTGCAGAGGAGTCAAAAAAGCGAGCTCGGAAAGAAGATCTTTCATATGCTTTCTTCGGACTCTCTCCTTCATGTTTCGGTCAAGTCTAGATGCCCCTGATCCATTTCCATTGCCCAGTTCCATATATATTACTCTTTTCGAGCTTTCTCTGCCAAGCGATTCAAACACACAAACAAGGATGCAAATGAGCCACGTCGAAACAAATAAATATAGACCAGATCCTTTTATATATATTGATACCCAAAGAAATTAATTCTTCATTGATATTTTATTATCATTGATGACGACAGATCACTGCGATATTTACTGGAAGAGAGAGGGAGTTTCTTTTCGAAGAAGTTAGCTACTATCACCACTGCCACTCAGCCACCACCACTGCCACTCAGCCACCACCACCACTGCCACTCAGCCACCACCACCACTGCCACCCAGCCACCACCGCCTACAGCGGCCAACCACCACGAATCGCCTCGGAAAACTCGTTGGAGTCCCTAAAAAGAACGAGTTTGAGTGGGAGGCTCCGGGAGTCATCGATATGGCCATTTTCAGCCATGTTGATGGCCGAAAACAGCCATATTAGGCTAGATCTGGCCGGAAATGGCCATATCTATTATGGCCATTTCCGGCCAAATCGATGGATCTAGCCTGATATGGCCGTTTTCGGCCATCAATATGGCCGGAAACGGCCATATCGAAGCCTCTTAATCACGGTGAGTTGCTTATGGGGACTTTCGGAGACTTCCGGCAGTGGCGGTAGGAGGTGGGGGTGATTTCGTAATAAATTAAAGTTTTATATAAGCAGAGGTGTTTTAACTAAATCTGAAATATTGGGGGTTAAAAGAAATTATTCAAAAATTAATAATAAAAATAATATTATATTAATATTTGTAAAGGGGACAATTTAGTAATTTAAATAACATACACACCAATTTATTCCCCATAACCAACCATATTAATATAACATACCCATCAACTAACCAAACATATTTTCTTAAAGATTCCCAGTAATCTTTCAAGATAATCTATCTTTCCAGTAATCCAACATTCTCAGTAATCTAACATTCTTGAACCAAACGCCCCCATAGAGTAATGTGAAACCAAAACAAGTAAACACACATAAGTAAAGAAAAAGAAAAATACGCGTAATTTATCATGATTTACCTAAGCAATAGGTTACGACTTACGTCAAACAGAGTCAATACTATTAATATATTGTTTCACCTCTCTCATTACAATGAATGTAATCTGCCCTATAATTTGCTATCACACTTATGTAAGAGAAAAATAAGTTTATATACTAAATTTAAAAAATGAAACCTAATATTACAAGAATCCCTAAATACATCTGCATATTCCGTTATTATTGAAGTAGTCAACAACTCCAATAATGTTCAACTTCATATGTAATTTATCACTACGTGGTTTTAGTGTAGTCTGTACTATAACTACCAACATTAACAAGACGAGATTCCACTGAAAAGGAATCGTGCACAAACACAAATGGTCCGTTTGTTTTATTATTTCAAACTCTATTCCCTATCATATTCCCAAAATACATGTTTATTTAATTATTTGGGAAATACTATTCTATTTTTTTAAAGTTTATTAATTTAATTAAACACCCCTAGAAAAAAAAGTTTAAAAATTAAAAAAAAAAAAACACCCCCACCCACCCATAGTTGCTAGATTCCGGCAACCACCGTCGATGGTTGTCGGAATCTGTCACAACGGCGTAGAAACGATCAGAATTGGCCGGTAATTGGCCGATCTGGCCTTTTCTGATCAAATCCACAAATCTGGTTGTCGTTAACTGCCATATCTGGCCTTTTGCAACCGTCGACGGCCAGATCTGGCATTTTCCTGCCAAATCAATGTACGACCGACCAAATCCGACCGGTGTGCGTCGTAACGCCATTTTTTGGCCAAATTCCGGCGGTGGTGGCCGGAATCTGGCACTGTGGGTGGGTGGGGGCGTTTTTGTCATTTTATAAAAAATTATATATTGGGGTGTTTAGTTAAATTAGCAAACCTATGAGGTTTTTTTGTTAAATTTTAAATTTTACCTTGTAATACTCACCCTATTCAACTATCCAATATTATTCCCAAAATCTTATCCAAAATAACAAAACAAACGCACCCAAAGTCTTCTTTTTTACGTTGAAATGGAACCAAACAGCACATGTGTGTGTATATATATATGATATTAAATTCTTCCAGAACTTACAGGGATCTTGTTATGACACAAATACATGTGTTGATGCTCGCTTTTGGCACCAACGAATTGTCACGTGCATAACATTGATTGGCTGTTAAATACACGTGAAAATGGAATATCTAAAGCGAAATAAATGCAAAGGGGGTTTTTAAGTGGTTCGGATGCTAAGGTAGCAAGTCCTATGTCCACTGATTTATATTGATATTAGTGTGGGTCAGGTCGCAACTGTGGATTGACTTACAAAAGAGTTGGAAAAAGCAAATGTGTTTACAGGAGAGAGAGAGTATTTCTTAGTATGAAAATGGCCGAATCCCTTAACGAAGGGGTCTTCTTCATTTTATATCAAACTGAAGCGTGTAATCATCATTAAATCCATGGTTTGGTGTGATTGTNCGGAAATATACTGCTAGTTAAAATTCTTTTATTAAATAAAATTTTCGCATAAAGTTAAAAAAGTAAACTAATTATAATGATTTATTATGTGATTGAATTATCTAAGTTAATAATATCATACAAAATAATTACAATTTAGTAATATAGAATTCAAAAAGTTTCATAAAACCCACAAACATAAAATACTTGTTTTTTTTTTTTCTGATGCATAAAAAAATTACAAATATTAAAAATTCAACCCTAACAATATGGAGTGAAAGAATAATGTACCCATATTTTTATTATCTTCTCTCAGCTCTTTATTCCGATTAAATTAAATAGTCAGCAGGTAGAATAAATTTAATTTTTAGCTCAACTAGCAAGTCCAAGTTTGATTAGCTGCTTTTTCACGTTTCATTTTCGAATTCGTATTTTCAATTTTCAAATACATTTTGACTACAGCATAAACATTTCAATACATGTTATTTATTATTGAAGAATTTGATTGTACAAATTCTCTATATATATATATATATATAAAAAAAAAAAAAGCATGGCCTGAGAAATAAGAGATGTTTGTGTAATTAATTATTAAGTTTATGAATATGAAAGTCACATGATGTAAAGTTAATTGCATAATGTATAGATATATATATACGCAAAAATCTTGTCGTGTTTCATGGAAGAGGGAGAGGAATGACTAAGTCAAGCAATCGATGTAGTGAGGAGATTGCTTATGTGCATTAATTATTAATTTTATAACTTTACGAACTGAACAATTTTACAAAGAGACAAAACGTTTCCTAAATGTAAGCATTTTGTCCTTTGCAAATGGCTCCAACAATTCTTTACAAGAGAGGAACGTCTTCTATTATATTTTATATATCAAACAAATATCTTAATTTTATTTGTATAAATTTGATGAATAATTAGTGAACTATATCGTTTTCAAAAGAAAGTAGTGATCCAATCAGTGATATTTTTAGAAGTAACTTGCATGAAGTCCAAATTTGAATAGGCAGTTGCATTTCAACGTCGTCTTCCGGAATTCAAAATACATTAAATGCGTTTTGAATAAATGGGATTAATTGGATTGCCCTAGGAAGACATTTTTAATCCTATATATATATATAGTCTTCCAATGACCACAGACAATGATTGTTTTATTTTCTAAGATTGTGGAACATATTGCTGATAATTTGACCACGTTACTTAAAGACTTCGTATGACCAAAACAACTCTTGATGAGCTTTTCTTCTTCTAAAATCTAAATTCCNGTTTGTACTATAACTACCAACATTAACAAGACGAGACTCCAATGAAAAGGAATCGTGCACAAACACAAATGGTCCGTTTGTTTTATTATTTCAAACTCTATTCCCTATCCTATTCCCAAAATACATGTTTATTTAATTATTTGGGAAATACTATTCTATTTTTTAATTACTTTTAGACCCCTTAAGTTTATTAATTTAATTAAACACCCCTAGAAAAAAAAGTTTAAAAATTAAAAAAAAGCACCCCCACCCACCCATAGTTGCTAGATTCCGGCAACCACCATCGGTGGTTGCCGAAATCTATCACAATGGCGTAGAAACGATCAGAACTGGCCGGTAATTGGTCGATCTGACCTTTTCTGATCAGATCCACAGATCTGGCCGTCGCTAATGGCCATATCTGGCCTTTTGCGGCCATCGACGGCCAAATCTGACTTTTTCCTGCCAAATCCGTGGTACATCTAGCCAGAAAAGGCCATATCAATGTACGACCGACCAGATCCGACCGGTGTGCGTGGTAACGCCATTTTTCGGCCAAATTCTGGTGGTGGTGGCCGGAATCTGGCACTGTGGGTGGGTGGGGGTGTTTTTTTCATTTTACAAAGAAATTATATATTTGGGTGTTTAGTTAAATTAGCAAACCTATCAGGTTTTTTTTGTTAAATTTTAAATTTTACCTTGTAATACTTACCCTATTCAACTATCCAATATTATTCCCAAAATCTTATCTAAAATAACAAAACAAACGCACCCAAAGTCTTCTCTTTTACGTTGAAATGGAACCAAACAGCACGTGTGTGTGTTTATATATATATGATATTAAATTCTTCCAGAACTTACAGGGATCTTGTTATGACACAAATACATGCATAACAAACTGCGGGTGATTTTGACAAAGATTTACATCCAAGAACGAAAACTAAAGACAGAAAATTTTATTAATCAACAAAAAATGGAAGAAGTATATGATGTATTTTAATTCAAACCCAAGAAAACCTCGTAAATAAAGTTTTATCATCACCTGATGACCTCGTTCCTTGCTTCTAATTAATGGTGAAAAATATTGGGAATTAAAATGAATAAACGGTAAATAACTCGAAACCTGATTAATACCCCTAAAATATTGAATTCTATACTATAATTTAGGAAAGTATGAACCAGAGGATATACTATTGAAATCTTAATCCAGTGAAATATTCTATGGTGATGTTGGAAGACATATATGGGTCACGGTTTAAAACTGAAAACGAGAGTGGAGGGGAGAGAGAGAGATTCAGTTCAATTAGTTGGATCCTTGACACTGACCGTTACCC